GTGTGTGTGTGTGTGTGTGTGTGTGTGTGTGTGTGTAGTGTCCCGGAGTTCACACCACATCCCACAGCCCCCAAGCCAACCTCTGAAGAAAGGCCCATCTGATTCCGACTCTCAGCCTCCAAGTTTGTTTTAACTTGGCTTCGTAACGGCAGGATGACCAGAGTCTCTATTTGCTCCAGCCCCACCCCCAACCCGCTTTAAGGGTACAATTTAATATTTCTGAACAAATTTTAAAATTGTGCAACTATCACCACCATCCAGTTTTAGAACATTTCCATCACTCCGCTTAGCGTTTCTAAGCGCCCGGATCCTCATCTGTAAATGAAGACAACATGAGCCCAGCACATTACAGGCCACCAACAAATTTTACCTAGCATTATACTTGTTGAGGATGGCCTGTTTCCAGGTTACTATCTTTTCCCACAAGCAGCCAGATCTTTGCCCGGCTGGCGGCCGCGCGCGCAGAGCACAGATTTGCAGCGGGGAGGTGGAACCGAAGTCCGGAAGGCTCCGCGCGGCGGTTCTTCCCCGCAAGCCGCGGCCAGCGATCGCGGAATCGGGCCTCTCCCCGCACCCTGGCTGGGGCGTGCGGCGCGGCTCCGGGCTGGATTGGTGATGCCTGGGAGCTGCGGGCGCCTGCGCAGTGGGCAGGGTGGCGCGCGCGCTGAGGGGCTGCTAGCGGTCTCTCGAGTGGGCTAGAGCGTGGCCGCGGCTGCTCGCTCTGGACGGCCGCACCATGGCGGAGGAGGAGCTCGAGGCGCTGAGGAAGCACAGGTTGGCCGAGCTACAGGCCAAGCACGGGGTGAGCGCGCCCACCCCCCCCGCCAGGCCCGTCCCCTGAGGGGCGCCGCCTTCACCCGAGGTGGAAGGCGCGGCCCCAGGCGGAGGCTCCAGGCGCCGACGCCCCAGCTCTCCCCGCGGCCGAGGACCCCGCCTCCGCCGCCGGTGGCCTCCTGGTCGCTTCTGAGCAGGCTCGGCCCCTCTCCCCAGTGCGCGGGGTCTCGGGCGGCCAGCGGACCATGTGCTGCCCTGGGCGGGTCGGGCGCGGGCCTCGCCTGGGCAGGGGCTGGTTCTCGTCCGGGCAGGCACTGGTCCGAAACAGAATTCTCAGCCCCTCGGGTCTCTCGGTGCCTTTAGCTCGTGGATCTAGCCTGCTTCGACTAGCATTCCTGCCGAATGTTTTCTCGAATTTAATTGTTCCGACCTAAGGGTCTGCTGTGTGCCAGGTGCTGAGGGTACAGCGGGGAACATCGCCTGATGGAGTTGACAGTCCCGGGGACGGCCAGGCACTAAACTAATCCCGTAGCTAAAACGCCCAAGTAAGGGCTCTGCTGCAAAGAGGAAGGGAGTAATGTGTTAGGGGTGGAGTGGGGTGGTCTGGAAGGAAGGACTGTTTGAATCTTCAGTGTCCCCAATACCGAAGCACATTTTCTTTTACAGAAATTATTCTTACCACGTAAAACACGGTTTCGTAGAGCAAGGACTCTTCTCTCTAATGGTTGTTTGTATTCTAAAACATTCTCTTAGATTGTGATGTTAGCATCTTATCAAAACGTTGTAGTAAGTGGAAACTATCAGTTTGACTTTTGTGAGGCCCGGCTTTGAATTATTTGGTAAGCCGTCTCTACCACTGCAGGAGCCTGTTAGGTATCAGAAAGAAAATAGGAGTTCCTGTTTTTTTCCTCTGTGAAATTACTAAAAGATAAAATTGTTTTTTCAGGACCCTGGCGATGTAGCACAACAGGAAGCGAAGCAAAGGTACGGGCTGGAACTCTGAACTGTTTTTTGTTTTTAATGTAGTGGCTCTTTTTTTTTTTAATTAAGGAGTACTTGACATACAACGTAAGTTTCAGGTGTACAGCATAATTATTCCATATTTGTACATATTGTGAAATGATCCCTACAGTAGGTCTAGTTAACATCCATGACCACACGTACTTGCAAACTTCTTTTCTCGTGATGAGAACTTTTAAGATCTACTCTGTTGGCAACTTTCAGACATGCAATATAGTAGTATTAACTGTAGTCACCATGCTGGACATTCATCCCCATGACTTATGTATAACTGGAAGTTTATACTTTTCTGATAATCTGCACTTGGCCCACCTCCCAACACCGATCTCTTGGTCTGTTCTCTGTGTCTGTGGGAACTCTGAACTTTTTGAAGGATGGTTTCACCAAATTTTTTTTTATTTTATTTTAGTCACCTTAATAGGTGTGTGACTCTTAAAGATCTTCCTGGCATAGTGATTTTTCCAGAAATCATCATCACAGTTATTATGTTTGTTAAATAAACATGTATGGAATCCCACATTAGTTATTACTTTGTATTGCAATTACTGATGGATGTTTCTCTGCTAAACTGTGATTACCTTAAAACCAACATAATCATAAGACTACCTCACAGGTATGTGGTGAGGATTGCAGGGGTACAGTGCTTCACATTTAGTAAGTGCTCAATAGTATTAACTATCATTCTATTCTCAATGTTATTTTATCCCAGAATATCACAGAGCACCTCACACTTGGCAGGTTTATTGAATGAATGCCTAATTCCCCCATCACGCTACCTTTTTTTAATAACTGATTTAAAAAAACCCACATAAGATAAAATTTACCATGTTAACTCTTTTTAAGAGTATGATTCAGTCATATGAACTATATTCTCATTGTTGTGCAATTAATCTCTAGAACTTTTTCATCTTGCAAATCTGAAACTATGCCTATTAAACTCCCCATGCCCCCCCGCCCCCCGCCCCGTACCTCCCAGGGCTACCTTTTAACTCATTCGTTCATCCAGCGAATACTGAGCACCTGCTCTCGGTCAGGCACTGTGTTGTGTCTACAGAGATAGGCAAGGTGGAGAAGGTTCCTGCCCTTCCGTAGCTTACATTAGAGGGAGAAGACAGCTGGTAAGCACCTGGGATAGTGCTAAGAAGAAAATAAAACTACTGCGTGAATTTCACTGATTATAAGAAGTGCATTTTTTTCACATTCTAACATATCTGACATTCGAATGTCTCATAATTGATTGCTCTTGTCCTGGATTCTTCCAAAGAGGATTTACTTTTTATTCTGCCATCATGTGGGTCATTTCTAACCTGAGACCTCTTAAAATTCACTGCTTGAGGGCTTCCCTGATGACGCAGTGGTTGGGAGTCCGCCTGCCGATGCAGGGGACACGGGTTCGTGCCCCGGTCAGGGAGGATCCCACATGCCGCGGAGCTGCTGGGCCCGTGAGCCATGGCCGCTGAGCCTGCGCATCTGGAGCCTGTGCTCCGCAACGGGAGAGGCCACAACAGTGAGAGGCCCGCGTAC